TCGTGAGCGACGATGTTTGGATGGATCATGAGTGGAAGAACCCAAACCAGTGGAACTATGAGTGGGACTACGACTACAACAGCTGGTGGCAAGATGATCAGCAAGACAGCTGGTGGCAACATCATCAGCAAGACAGCTGGTGGAAGCATGAGCCGCCTGCACAGCGATCCAAATGGAATCTTAAGCTGGTGAAGTGTCGATGTCGCTATGTTTTTCGTAGAAAAGCATTGCGAAAAAAATGGTCCTGAAGCATTAATCCGTACAGTAATTCGCATTGCAATACTTCCTGCTGCCAACCATGATCCGCGGTTGCACAGTACAGGACGCTGGAGATATCTTCTCAGGAGCTCGAAAAGACCGATGCTGTTTTCGCTGAGTGCTTGTCTGCATGTTTCAAAGCCACGAAAGCATAAGAAACCAAACCATTGCACGTGTTTGTTTTCATCAAGTCGTGCAGAATGATGGCGATGATGTTGATGTTTATGTTCATGTCGATGTTAACATGATGATGTTGATGTTGATGTTGATGCCACTTTTTCTCTTGTTGTTGGTGGCGGTGGCCGTGATGATGATGATGAGGTAGATGATGATATTACTGTTAGGATGATGATGATGCTATGATGTTAGGGGATGCAACTTTCAACTTGCAAGCAGGAGCCCATGGCTCTTCTTAAAACTGCTCCGGAAATCCTTATGAATATATCGGCCAGGATCCCTTCGGTTTCATGTGTATCTAAACTCCTATTCATGTCAAATTATGCAACGCTGATAGCTCCAAATGCCCGTTGATTGCTATCCTTGTCGTTTGCACGCTGATAAACGCTATCAGCTCCAAAACCAGCGCTGATAACCTATATCAGCCCCTGATAACACCTATCCGTGCCGTTTACGCGCTTATAGTCTTTAAAACGGCGCTGATCAGCCTATCAGCTTCATAATCGGCGCTGATAGATGGACTGGGTCTAACGAAGGGAAGAGTGCGATTCAGAAGCATACGAGAAAACAACTTGCCCGCAGCGCTACCCATGGATATCGGTCTAAGGTGCTTGGCTTCCGTGGGCGTACCCACCTTTGCAAGGATGACCATGAGGGGGACGTTCCAGTCCCGAGGGACCTCATGAGTCACCAGGGTCCGGGTCATGAACTCAAGGAGATGCTCTGCCTCACCAGGCAGGTCAGCAAGAGCCTTCAACAGCTCAGCTGAGGTGCCATCAACCCCAACCGATTTCCCTGTCTTCATCTGACCAAGTGCAGTGCGAAGCTCTTGCATGTCAAAACCCTTTGTAGACCCTGGGTAGACACCTTCGTTCGGCCGAACACCATCCCCGCTGTACACAAGCTCGAGATGATCACGCAGCACCGTGTGAGGATCGCCCTTCTGTGCCTCGGCAAAGCCATGCTCCCACCCTGTTTGTTTTTGCTTGCACCCTCGAAGCTCTCCCCAGTCGCCCTGGCTAGCTCTGGCAAGTCTCTCGGCTTCCCACTTCTTCCTGGCACTTTTCCGGAGTCCCCGAACCTGAGTCCACGCATCCTTGGACTTGAGGAGCCTGGCTCGCTGAACAGCAGCCTTGACATCCGGCGGGTCCCTGTAACTGCGACCTGGCACAACCCTGGTACACCTCATCGCCAGGTCCACCAGTACTTGCTGATCGAGAGATTCAATCTTGTCGACTCCCCCACACCACACCCTTGGCTTCGTGGAAAAACGACTGATGGATGACCCCTTCCGAATGACCAGGCTCCCTTCCAAAAGCTCGTGATCTGTCCCCAGCACGATGTGAGAGTCAACATGCACATGGAGACTGGCACCAGCAATCCCTGACACCGACATGTAGTCAATGATGTGCCCTCGCCGTCCTACCTGCCGGGGCCTACTCGTGGGGACACCGAACTGCTCCTCAGCGGGGGGAACCACCTGTAGATGCTTGCACTTCAGCTGATCCAAGACCCCATTCGCTTTGCCATCCAACCCCACTGCCATCACCTGTTCCTCTTGCAACGACCACCTGATCCCAGCATTTGCATCGCACTGACACACCACCGAGTTGACTCCCTTAGGCATGCCCCGTAGAAACTCAGACATCTCCTGCTCCGATTGCGAGTGTGTCGCTCCGGGTGTGAGGTGCACCGATCCAACCCACACGAGCGACCCAAACTTCATGTGCTTGAGCTGTACCCAAACTCCCCTTCCTGACGCCACCCTCCTCGCCACCGACCACACCTCAGACTTGAAGGCAACACCAGCACCACGCCATGCCTTATCGGACCTGTGCGAAAGTATCTGGAGAGATCCCTGCTTTTCCGTCGCCCATCCAACCCCGGCACGGGGGAGCTCCTGCAGTGCAAGAACAGCGTCCGGAGCCAGGGGCCGTCGGGTAGCATTCTGGATCGCCGAGGCAAGATCTGAGATGTCACAGCCACCAACATTCCATCCGAAAAGACTGAAGTGAAAACCATTCTCCACGGCCCCTGAGGAGCTCGAAGTCGCCTCGCTTGCTTGCACACCAGCGCCTGGCATCTTACCGGCACAGCGAATTGCCCCAACCCTGGGTAGACCAGCCATCTCCCTAAGGAAGGCCAGCTGGTCCATCTCCGACAGCCCCGAGGCATCCACTCAGCGACGACACTGCTCGACCATCGCCCTGACTTTCTTTAGCGGCTTGGAGACAAGCTTAGCCAGCAACCCCACATCAATCCACTTCTTGAAAGGTGCCTCGCCAACTTCGTCAATTCCCTTGTGGTCATGCTTCGGGGGTACGGGAAGATTAGCCGAACACAGCATCCCATCGGGACCCCAGACAGTCCCCGTCTTGTACTCCAAATCCAAGCTGTTCTGTGCAATGTCGGCATCAAACTCAGCGACCACACGTTTGATCAAGGATGCATGTGCCGCCACTGCCCTCTCCTCAGGTGTTTTGCTGAAGCTACACCATAATTTGGTCCCCGCTCCACTCACCACTTGGTTCGAGGCAAAGGCTGACACCACCTTGAACATTCTTGCCCTCTTATCAGCATCGGGTTCATTGGGACGAGCCATCATAGGCAGAAGAGCCAGTGATCGCCTTGGTCCCGTGCAAAGGCATCCTGATCAATGTCACCCCCGACGAGGTTCAAGGTACGGATCGCTTCATTCAACTCCTTCAAGATAGTCTGGCGCCTGCTATCCCGGGGCCACCCTCCAATCACCAGGGTCGAACGTCTGCGACCCTCGTCCACACCTGGGGGCACACGCCCTCCAGAGCCCCCTGCTTTGACCGTGTCGGCCAGCTCCTGCAAAGCACTTTCCAACTGGGTCACTTTGCCCTCGAGAGCCACGTTTTGCCCCGCAAGCGAGGCGACCTGCTCCTCGACTTGGCACACCCTGGACTCGACTTTAGCTTCCATCTCCTGGACCGCCTTGTTAAGCTGAGACTGCTGAGCAGAAAGAAGCTCCTTGCTCTGCTCCACCAGCAACCCTCTGATCTTCGCAACATCAAGTGTCACAGTGTCACTGAGGTTCTTCTCTTTCTTCGGATTCGGCTCCTCGGACCTATTGGCAGACTGCCCCCCGCTTCCGAGTAGGAGACACAACATCCACCTCGTGCTCTTCCAGGTCCAAGTCCCCCTCAGGCACCGGAACCCTTCGGTGACAGCGTTTAAGGCTTAGAGTGTACGGCTTAAGCGGTCTAGGGTTTAGGGTTGCGGGGGTTGAGGGTTTAGGAGTATTGCTGATGAGGGGGTCCAGGTCTAGGATTTAGGGCTTCGGCGAGGCGGGCGTTTACCTCCCCGCCCCTCCCTCACCCCTTTCCGTGAGGTGGGCTGGGATAAGGTTGGGCGGGTGGGGGTGACATGGCGTGGGCAAGCGTGTGGGGGGTTGGGCAGGGTGAGGGGGGGTCCGGGGCCGGGGGGGGGTCCGGGCCCGGGGCCGGGGGGAGGGTCCGGGAGGGGGGGGGTCCGGGAAGGGCCCAGATTCAAACCAAATCGAATTAAATATTTTACATGAGGGGGTTCCGGGGCCGGGGGAAGGTCCGGGGTTGCGGGGAGGGCCCGGGATTTAAAGTATTTGAACTATTTAACTTGTTTAATTCCCGGCCCGAATCAAATAGTTTAAATAACTTAAATGTTGGGGAAGGGGGTCCCGGGGCCGAGGGGAGGGTCGGAGGGGTCCGGATGGTCCGGGGAGGGCCCGGGGGGGGAGGGCCCAGGATTTTTATTATTTAAATTATTCAACTTATTTAAATTATTTACATTATTTGATTTGTTTGAATTATTTAATTCCCGGCCCGAATTATAGAATTTAAATAGTTTAAATAATTTAAATATTGGGGAGAGGGGTCCCGGGGCCGGGGGGAGGGTCCGGGCGGGAGGGCCCGGGAAGGAGGGCCCGGGGGGGAGGGCCCAGGATTTAAATTTTTTAAATTATTTAAACTATTTCATTCCCGGCCCGAATTAAATAATTTAAATTATTTAAATAATTTAAATATTGGGGAGGGGGGTCCCGGGGCCGGGGGGAAGGTCTGGGGGGAGGGTCCGGGGAGGGCCCGGGATTTAAATTATTTAAATTATGTAAATTTTTTTAATTCCCAGCCCGAAGTAAATAGTTTAAATAATTTAAACAATTTACATAATTTAAATGTTGGGGAGGGGGGTCCCGGGGCCGGGGGGAAGGTCCGGGGGTCCGGGGAGGGCCCGGGATTTAAATTATTTAAACTATTTAAAATTATGTAAATTATTTATTTCCCAACCCGAATTAAATAATTTAAATATTGGGGAGGGGGGTGCGGGGTCCGGGTGGTCCGGGGAGGGCCCGGGGGGGAGGGCTCAGGATTTAAATTATTTAAGTTATGTAATTCCCGGCCCCCACCCCCCCAGAAACTAGAACCGGGTTTATCTGGAAGCTGGCTCTTGTATTTATAACAGGATTTAGCTACGTATTTCCTCACTAAAATACAAAAGCCAGCTTCCAAATAAATCCGGTTTAAGCCGCACACGGGCCCCCCCCCCTTTCCCCCCCTTTTACTCTTGAAAACGGACCAGATAAGGTCCTGCATGCGCTTTTGACCTAGATCTCTCTTACCTAAGTGAATGGTAAACGACAACTCCCGCAAGCTCCACAGAGCTAGCTTTCGTGATAAAGCCGGGAGCTCGTCACAGTCTCTTTAAGAGAGGATGAAGAGGTTGCAGAAATCACCAGTCGCAGGTGATCTTTGACATGTTTGAGTATGATATTTCCGAGCTTGCAAACGATCCCGACATATTTAAGAAAGCACATGCTCGACATGAAATGTTTGAATACCACGACGTTTCCTCTCAAAGGGTTTCCTTTGTCACCCGACTCTTGTGAAGCAGATGGTTGAAATCAGAGGTCCCGCGATGCCGCCTGGGATAAGTCAGATCTCAACTAGGGTGGATTGGGGTTGGGGTCGGGGCAGTTTACGAATGCAGGTTCCGGTGCGATTCGCAGCAGGTTGCCAGGTAGGTAACGGGCGATTCGGAAGATTTGTGGTGTCCAAATGTTTCAGGCCCTGGCCTGGTTTGGAAAAGGATAACAACTCAGCACTCAAGGTAGAGTGAGTCTGGCGGCTTTGCTCGATCCAATTTTGGCGTAGAACTGAGAACACACCCGGTTCGCGTCAAGGAAGCTTGCCATCGCACATTGCCATCATATATCCAGCCGGACTGCAACAACCTCGTGCGTTTGCCCACGAGGCATCCGAAAGAATGGTGAATCCTTCCAGGTTTCTCCGTGGCCCGAATCAATGCTCCGCTACTACCTGAGATCTGACTTTATCCCAGGCTTTCCACCATCTGCTTCACGAGAGTCGGGTGACAAAGAAACCCTGTGAGAGGAAACGTCGTGGTATTCACACATATCACGTCGAGCGTGTGCTTGCTTAAACACGTCGGGACTGTTTGCACGCGATTCTCAAGACCTTCAGTTGGTTTCGCACTAGTCTTCAAGTGTCGCTGTTAGGGAAGGTTGGGGGATTAGCTTGACCTTCATCTGCCCTTACTAGCACTTCGGAACACAGACCCGAAGCCCCTAGAAAAAACACTATCTTGTCTGTCCGGCCTCCGTAGCTTCACCTCAAGCGCAAAACATGGAAGCATGTTCTGAGACCGGGATTCAGAGGCGATGTCTGAATGCCGTCGCATCTCATGGCCGGCTTTGTATGCGCATGCCCCTGGGTCATCTGCAAATCCAAGTTAACGCGTGTATCCTAAGTTTATCGATCACTGAAGACTCTGCCAGGTAGTGCTTCGGGGAGACTAGGAGTCTGGGCCATCCGATCTGATTGAAAGCGTGAATGCGGATACCAACTTCTTAAGCCCTGCATGGAGCTGTTCATAAGACCGTGGCGAGGCTTCTTGGCTCGGCGCTTCGGCTTCGTGGCCGCCTCAAGGCAAGGGGCATCGGCGCTCTGAAGATGCTCAAAAGGTCCGTTTTCAACCTTACGTAACCCGGGCTCCTGCTTGGCTAGGGGAGGCAACGGAAACAACCCAAGCCTGATGCGGCGCTAGCATCTCTCCGGCCTTCGGAACGGGCAGAGTTGCGGTTTCACTGTCATTGCAGTTTACACAGAATATCTGCTTAGAGAATATACCGCAATATGCAGCACCTGAAGCTTCATCATCAAGCGGTTGCAAAACGCTCCGTGCCTCGCGGACAGTGTCTCCGTGTGCCGGAGGAGATGTACGGTGCCCTAGCAGCGCACTTGAGTTTCTTGATCATGATTTGCAAGTAATCTCCGGGGTTGTGCGTCGCATTCACCGAACTGACAGCTTCTGACAATCACGACCGAGCGACGAGCAGAGCAGCTTGGCATTTGCGTTCCGTTGTACTGAGACTGGAAAGGTCGCAACTTAAACTACCTAAATGGCACAAGGTAGTCCCGAGTGCCCCCCTCCGACAAAAGCGTGAGCCAGCGGGGCCAATCGCATGGCCACCATTACAATGAGCATCTTCCTCCACAGGATCGTCACACTCGTCCTCGTGGCTTTCATATCTTCATCATGACGATCATCGACGTGCAGAGGCTTGGAATTCCGGTCAGGGACGGATCCCAGGAACACTTCGACTTGAACAAGCACTCGTACGAAAAAGCTGCCTTAAGCTACGATAAACTACTCGGGCAGGTCCGAATAGAAACACTACTAAGCATGTTCATCGTGTCTGCTAATGGTGCTGGCTTTTGAAGTCGTTACCGCTTGCGCAGCCGCGTACACGCGATGATTGTCCATTGCAATTGTCAAGGCCGGCCAGCAATGCCTCCTTAACATCTTGCGGTTCGACTTACAATACCAGGAGAACATGCCTCTGCAATGAAGCCATCTGCATGATATTTGTCCAAGCTCTGCTTGCATGTCAATCCCTGCCCCAAGCTGCAGATAACCGCCCTCTTCACAAGAGCGCCTGGACAATCCAGGTGCCTCCTCTAAGCATGCGAAATCACAGCATCATCTCAATCATGCCGGGCGCATCACTGACATGCATCTTACAAGTCTTTCCGCGGTCTCGCACAATGAACTAC